TGTGTGGGCTGGGTGGGTGCATTTTCGTAAGTGTGGAGTAACAAGGGATCTTAAAACTTGGCAATCTTAAAATGCCTTATCCTGTTTCCTCCCCAGTATAGAAATTTAGCTGCAATTTTCCTGGTCAGAGGCCATCCAATTCCTGTTTGAATCACTCCAGCGACAAGGAGCTCACCACTAACAGGGCAACATCACCCACTGCAAACGGACAGCCCTCAGTGTGACAGAATTTTGATGCTGAGCTGAAATGTACATCCCATTACCTTCCCATCCATCTTAATTCTGGGAGTTAATACAAGCATTATAAGCATTGCCTCTAGGATAACACTACAAATGTTTGAAGAGAGCCACCATGGCCCCCACCACCAGATTGCTTTTCTTGATCCAATATCTTCATTTTCTCATATGAAACAGTTTCCAGACCTATCCCCATCCTGCTGGTCCCTCCTCTGGGTGACCTAGTTAAGAGATGGCCCCAGAACTGAACCCTGCACTCATTTCTTGGTCCAGAATGCAAAGACTTTAGGGAAATAACTCTTCTTTTACGTATGGGTTTATATTCACATTTTTTAGCTGCCATATCATCGCTGTGGCTTATACTGAGCTGTTAGTCAACCAACCCAACCCCCTTCAGGGATATTTGAAATATAATGAATACTTTTCAGTCACTTGCCATAGCTTTTGCTCTGTGGCTGATCGCCCTCCCCGCCCTCCACCCCTCTTAACCTTGATATAGGACCTTCTATTCATCCCTAATATGTTTTAGGGCCTATTATTTCAACCTACTGAGGTTTTTCTGCACCTCATTCCATAATGTTCTATTCCCACAACCCTTCATGGTTTTCTGTCTAAAATGAATTTGATCAGTACTCATTTTACTGATTAAATTTCTGATACATGATGGAGAGGCAGGAGAGGAGCCCTGGGAGACATCATAGAGCCCATCCACTGTGTTCACACTGGCCACTCAGCAGCTGTCCTGGGTACCATTAGTCAGCACACCGTGTCTCCACCCACTGGCATGCCCAGCAAACCTCTATCTCATCCTCTCGTCCACAACATTAATAAGAGACATTTCTTTAAGCCAAGAGAAGTGACTCCGTGACTTCAGCTCCTGACAGGCTATTACATGAGGTATTTCAGAGAAGCTTCCCAGAAGCTCACAGAAATCCCCTTAGGTGGTCTGGGCGGCTCCCTGCCCATCGGGCCAGTTCTGCCAGGAAGCACAGGCTTTAGCCACGAAATCCTGGATGGAAGAATTCTCTGGCAACTCTCAAAGGCTCTCCTCAGACATCCTGAGATCTGGGCCCTTTCATGACCTACTTTCATCAGACACCACAGGGAAGAGGTACAGGGCACTGCCCATCAGTTGAAAACTTCCTCAGTGTCTGGGGCTGGACATGAAAGCCCCCAGTCTGGCTCGTGGGAACCAATCATCTGTCTCACAGGAACCAGTCTGGCTCCCGAAAACCAGTCTGGCTCGATTTGTAGATGGTAAGAGGGAGGCCTTCTAGGAAAGTGCAGAGTTTGAAAGGTGGTGGAAGTCATCTGGCCCTTCAACTCGATGTCCCCCAGGTAGTCCTCTCTGAGCTACTGTAATTCATTCAGGATCTAGGCCCCTTCCCGTTTCCCCAAAGGCATGCATCTTTCCTTCTCCAATTATAAGGCTGGAGGACAAGGGCCAAGTTTTCCTTCCCTAGTGGTGTCCCAGACTGTGATGTGCATACAGCAGACACCCAGCAAATGCCCAGCATAAGGGTGGGTACCAAGCTTTCCTACCATGGATTCTCGACCCTTCCAGAATGAGAAAGTACTGTCCAACATATTTTTTCAGTCACGTATCTACCTATTCTACCAATTAATTCTACCCAATTTTCATATGACCTCATTTCCCCTTCAAATGCTCAGCATTAGAAGTGCCCATAGAGGTAGCTAATAAAACTTCTCTGTTGAAGTGATACTCACAGAATCCTTTTCCAGAATCATTTTTTGTACATTTTGGCCTTTTGCTTCAAACCATTAGTGACTTTCTTATGCCCAGAGCCTGGATCTTCATTTGACAATCAAAGTGGATTATCCTAAGGTTCTAGGCTGAATAGAGGCCCGTTAAAGATGTTATAAATAAGCTCACTTTCCTAGTAGGCAGGGCAATGCTATAAAGCAGTGGTTCTCAACCTTTCTAATGCTGCGACCCTTTAATACAGTTCCTCATGTTGTGGTGACCCCTAACCATAAAATTATTTTCGTTGCTACTTCATAATTGTAATTTTGCTACTGTTATGAATCGTAATGTAAATATCTGATATGCTATATGTGTTTTCCGATGGTCGCGACCCACAAGTTGAGAATGAGTTGCTTCTATGTACTTCTCATTGCTGTTTAGTTTGATGTTTCATCCTGGGAGACTCTTCACCTACGGGGATAATGGTCTTTGATTTGCATTCCTGGGAAGAAGAACATTTGGGAATATTGCTCCCATTAGGTACCTAGCATTATTTCTATTGGATAAAATGGCGACTTAGATAGAGCCCCATGCCCTCCAGGAGCTTCTAATCTCATTGGAAAGATGGGATACATATAAGTGGTGCTAATTATTCTGTGTGAGATTATGAAGAATGGAGATGAAAAGTGTGAAACTGGGCTGGAAAAGCCCAAATCATAGACTTCATGGTAAAGCAAAGTTGTCATCAGTACCTGGAGCACTAAATAAAGTACAGCAACTATAAGAATCTCTTCTAGTTATTCCTTAAAAAAATTGCATTTGAAGAATGTTGGCGAGAGGTGGTCTCATCCCGCCAGCTGAGAGAGGGCTAGGGATCCTTTCCCATGCTACAGTTCAGGCTTGGACAAGTTCCCAGCATGCTCTAGGAATATATGAGAAAAGAGCAGGACCGTGTGAGTCATGAGAAGAAAGATGAAGACCACAGTCTGGGTAGAACTTCCTCTGAAGCCCAAATAGGGCAATTTCAAAAGTCACCTTTCTTCAGCATTAGTCTCGGGGTTAAAGCACAGTGCAGGCTCCTTGGCCTGGACTCATGCAGCCTCCACTGCCCCTTGGGGATGACATCCAGCATGTTCCTTGAGAAAGAGGTTTTGGCTGCCTCCGCCTCTGGCCCTATGCCCCACATTTCCTGCACAGAGGAGCAGCGCCATAAATATCTGCTAATTTCATTGTTTAAGTGGAGAGCTTGTCGAAAAGATAAATCTGAAATGAAGCCATAAATATAGAAGAAGGGTCATATATCTGCTAATTTCATTGTTTAAGTGGAGAGCTTGTCAAAAAGATAAATCTGAAATGAAGCCATAAATGTAGAAGGGTCACGAGCCTCTTGCCTTTCCCAGATGCTGGCTCGGGCCAGGCTGGCAACCTCAGAGTCATCTGCGAGAGCTGGAAACGATAACCGGGCCCCACAGTGGGAGGCTCTGATGCAGCGGGCCTGAAGGGAGACCCCAGGGTCTGCATTTTAATAAACAGTGAATTGTACCTTTATACACAACTGGAACAAACAGTTTAGAAAATGTTTTCTCTATTTTTTTTATCAATGTCAAGAAACTTTAATATGCATACTATTTAAACCCATGATTCCATAAATCCACTTCTTGTCAAAAATTCTATTGAAATGATAAAAAATGAAATCATAGATTATGAACAATGATATGTATAGTAATTCTATGTATACTGATCTATACATGTCCAATATGCAAGAAAGGATAACTACATTATAGCAGGTTCATAAGATAAAATATTTGGCAACTAATAAAAATAATGGTTTGGAGAATCTTTGATAACATGATAAAATTTTCATGATATATAACAGAATTAAAATTTTAGATAGAAAACTTGGAGTCATAAGATTTCAACATTATAAATATCACCTAATATCTGCATTTTTAAAGTGATTCTGCTCCCCAGCTACATTTGGGAACAACTTCCCTGTGGTAACCGCCCTCCACGATGGCCCCAGCGATCTCCACCTCCTGCGTTCACTCCCTCGGGTAACCTCCTCCCACACTGTACACAATTGTTTTGTGTGACTTACAGAATGCAGCAGAAATGAAGGGGTAGCACTTCCGAGATTAGCTTAGGAAATACTGTGGCTTCTAAGTTTTGCTCCCTCTCTCTTTCTCTTTTAAATCACTCACTCTGGAGAAAGACATGTCTTAAGGAAACTTAGGCAGCCTGCGGAGAGGGCCAGAGGGCCCCCGCTGACAGCCAGAAAGAAACTACAGCCTGCCAACAACCACATGAGTCAACTCGGGAGAGGATCTCCCAGCCCCAGCAGCCCGACTGCAACCTCATCAGAGACTCTGAGCAGAATCAACCAGCTAAGCCACTCCTGGATTCCCGACCCTACGGTCTATGTGAGATAGTAAAAGTTTGTGGTGTGAAGCTGCCAAATCTGGGTGGTAACTTGTTACGTAGCAACTGATAGCTAATACATTTCCCTAGTCCAAAGGGCAAGCTCCCGAACATAGCACAGAAGGCCTTTCATGCCCACCTTTCCAGTTGCACTTCTCATGACCCCCAGATTCACATTTTTCTTGAGCAGTACTGGCCTGCTGATCCCCAGTTCACACCTCCATGCCTCTGTGCCTTTGCCCAAGCCATTCCCCACTGATGCCCTTTCCCCACTGATGGCATCCCCTTCTCCAGAAATCCTCCCTCAACGGCCCCCACACCAAATCACGTTGGCTTGGTCCCCCTCCTTAGTGCTCACACACTTCTTGAAATCAGTAAGTGAAAAGTGAGCTACATGTAGAAAAGGAAACATCTGCCCAACCAGTGTGGCTCAGTGGTTGAGTGTCGACCCAGGGCACATGCCTGGGTTGCAGGCTCAATCCCCAGTGTGGGGTGTGCAGGAGGCAGCTGGTCAATGATTCTCTCTCATCACTGATGTTTCTATATATCTCTCTCTCCCTCTCTCTGAAAACAATAAAAACATATTAAAAAGAGAAAAAGAAAACATCCACATGAAGGAGTCCTCAAGAACACGACTTGCCTCTACGTGGTTGATCAACGAATTGTCGAATTTGAACCCAGGAATCCTTTTCTCACTGCACACCACACCCACGTCCTCTGTGTGCTTGCAGTCGGTGACACCCCAGCCATTGGAGGTGCAGGCTGCGAGGGTTGCCTCTTTGCCGGTGCAGTAGACATTGTCCAACCAGATGGGCCCTGAAGGAAGCAGAGAAGAGAAAAACCAAGTGCGATGTCAAAGTAGGTTTGAATGTTGGGGGGGGGGGCACCAAAGTTGTACACAGAAAGAGAATTTTTCTCTAATCTGGGAAGCTGTGTGTGGTCATCAATTGATGTTTAGCATGTTAAGATATTGCACATAGTTCTAGACCATCTGGATTCCCTTGCCAGAGGGATGTGGTAGATTGAACATGATCAGGGTAGAAATCAGCGTTGAGCCCGGATGTGACATGTTGTAGGGGAAGGAGTGGGGACTTCGGATACTAAGCTAGATTTGAATTCTGGCTCAGCTTTGGTTGAAGCCTTTTCCTCATCAGTAAAGTGGAGATAATAAAGACACTTGAATCGCAGGAGTGTGGGCAGGAGACATAATACATGGCACATGTCTAGTTTATTGTTGGCCCATAGTTACTGAAAAATGATAGCGATGATGATGATGATGATGATGATGATAGTTATACTATGATGCAAGCCAGACTCACCTTCACCTGTAGCAGAGGCTGGACCGTGACCCCTCAGCCATCCTGCACTTGAGGCTTTGAAGGCATTTCCTTGTGTCACCTCCCCTGACTTCCCCATACTTCAAGGAAGAGGATGAGGTGACCTTGTTATTCACACTTTACAGACGCAGAACTCTGGCTCAGAGGGCAACTCACTCTGCAGGCCACCCCCTGAGCCTGGTGCCCTGGTCCGTTCAGTGTTCTCACTGCCTGAAACTTCCATCCACTGACTCCAAGACTAACCCACAGAGCCACCTCCTTACTTTTCAGAAGTCAGGTGACAGGATGTGGAGAAATTGGAACCCCTGTGCACTATTGGTGGAACCATAAAATGGTGCACTCACCATGGAAAAGAGCATGGTAGTTCCTTAAGATATTAAAAACAGAATTGCTATATGATCCTGCAAGTCCCAGAAGAATTGAAAGCAGGGCCTCAAAGAGATATTAGCACACCCATGTATCTTACATTATTATTCACAATAGCCAAGAAGTGGTATATCCATACAGGGGAATATTATTCAGCCTTAAAAAGGAAGGAAATTCTAAAAAATAAAAAATAAAAAAGGCAAATCAGCATGTTTCCACTTACTAGGTACCTCGTGTAGTCAAAATGCATAGAGACAAACATAGAGTGGTGGCTGCCAGGGCTGGAGGAGTCGGGATGGGGAGTGGTTGTTCAATGGGGACAGAGTTTCAGTTTCCCAAGATAAGAAGTGTTCTGGAGATGGTCGCACCACCATGTGAATGAGCTTAACACTACCCAACTGTACACTGGAAACTAGTCAAGGTGGCATGTTTGTGTGTATGTATGTTTTTAATATTTTTATTGATTTCAGAGAGAAAGGGAGAGGGAGAGAGAGATTGAAACATCAATGATGAGAATCATTGATCGGCTGCCTCCTGCATGCCCCTCATCAAATCCACAACCCAGGCATGTGCCCTTGACCGAATTGAACCCAGGACATTTCAGTGTGCAGGCCGATGCTCTAACCACTGAGAAAACTGGCTAGGGCAAGATGGCATGTTTTTTAATGTTATGTGTATTTTACCATAATTAAAATAAAAAATTTTTAAAGTGCCACAGGGTGTTTCAAATAGTGATTTTTATAAGTGCCACTACAACATGAAAGGAAACAAAATCAGCTAAGCCTGTCACTCTTCTTAATGCTCCATGTAGAACGCTATAGTATAATGAGGTCAGATAACAGGGTTTCCCATTCTCTCTCAGGCTGGGGTACTTCATGACTCGGTCAACTACTTAAACAAGCCTGTTCCCCATTTCCAAAGTGAAAACAATGACACCCAACAAATAGGTTGCCATGGATACTCAATGAGATAATCTTGCTCCTAGTACATTTTCAACCTCCCTTTTCCTTTCTCCCAGTAGGTCAGAAAAACAATGAATACTGTTCTTTCCATGATGCCAGGACGAAGCAGATAAAAACACTCCCATTGTAGAGATGAGAAAACCAAGGAGACCCTGGGGCCCTGAAGGTCAGGGAGAACGCAGGCCAGTCTCCTGACATCGAGGCCCTGATGAAACGTGTCCACTGTGACCGATGGCTGGTCAGGGCTCCAACAGGAGTGCTTTGGACGCAGTGAGGGGAACAAAGAGCTATTGAAAACATCTGGGCTGAGGTTTTCCAACTGGTTTCTCAATTTGGCCTGGTTTCCAAGCCATCAAGCTCCACTGAAACATATGCTCCCTACTCGATTGCTGTTTCAACAACAAACCAATGTTTGTCTTGCTAAGTAGCAGCAAGGACAAGACCCTCCACGGTGGACTCGGCCTCTTCCCGGGAACGTTCTGAAGCAAAGTTGCTGAAGGGACAGAGGCGGTGGAGAGAAACAGCGCCCTTATCCCGTCTGCAATGAGAGGAACCACCCTTGCGAAGGGGATGAGGAGCCAGATAGCACACGGCTAAAGGCAGTGTGAAAGGCTAAAAAATTTACACCAAGGTCTGCTTAACTTCTCATAGGAATGTTTGCAATTAGTCCCTGGAGTGTTCGTGGGAACTAACTTAACCTCAAAGAACTGCTTTCTTTCTTTCTTTTTTAATGTTTTATTAATTTCAGAGAGAGGAAGGGAGAGGGAGAGATAAAAACATCAATGATTAGAGAGAACCATTGACCGGCTGCCTCCCGCACGCCCCACATGGGGGATCGAACCCACCACCTGGGCATGTGCCCTGATCGGGAATCGAACCGTGACCTCCTGATTCATGGGTCACCGCTTGACCACTGAGCCACACCGGCCGGGCAGAACTGCTTTCTTAAGAAGCTTCAATTCACCCCCAATTATTCTACTCTTTGCACATTCTCACCAGTTATTTTTTTCTTAGATGGTGGAAATACAAACTTCTCTGTAGCCCAAGACAGCATCACCATGCGTGTATTCTCGTGTGGCCTGAATTCATTACAATTTCTTTCCTGTTTACTTAGTGCCCATCAACTAGACTGTCCTGATTCCAAAGTGGCCAGCCCTGGCTCTGCCCACTGGAGGCAAATCGAGGCTCAGTGCAGCAGATGCCATCTACCAGCTGCTAGGAAGGTGGCATTTGGGTCACATGGTGGGGGGTCAAACCTTGGACACAAAAGCCAATCAATCAGAAGCAAAACTTCATTTCTCCCTTTCCACTCACGTACTCTAAGAAATGCTTCTGACATAAGCAGAAGAGATGTATAAACACATCCACAGACCATTTGGAAGAGGGAGGTCAGAAATGAATTTCTACTTGAGTACCAGAGCTGTCAGGGAAATGGAAATTGTTCAAGTTAGAATCTTCCGTCACCTTGAGAGGAGTAGGTGACAGTGAGCCCTCCTGGAGGGTCTCCTCAGAGGGGAGCAGCTGCGCATCCCAGCTCTTCTACAGAGCTGACTCTCAGGGTCTGTCAGGGAAATGGAAATTGTTCAAGTTAGAATCTTCGGGGCCTCACTTGGTCACCTGCGGGCGTTGTCACTGATCTGCACTGGGCAGTGGGCAGCTGTCCCTCTAGAACCTTCTAACAGGGCTGGAGGCGCTTTGAGAGAAAAGACTGTGGACAGGCCAGGCTGGAAGACCCAGGAGCTGTGGGGACTCCCTGGCTTCCTTACTACACCGTGACCTTGAGAGGAGTAGGTGACAGAGCCCTCCTGGAGGATCTCCTCAGAGGGGAGCAGCTATGCATCCCAGCTCTTCCATAGAGCTGACTCTCGGGGTCAGCCTAGGGCAGTGGTCGGCAAACTGCGGCTCGCCAGCCACATTAGGCTCTTTGGCCCCTTGAGTGTGGCTCTTCCACAAAATACCACGTGCAGGCGCGCATGTACAGTGGGATTGAAACTTCATAGCCCATGCACAGAAGTCAGTATTTTGTGGAAGAGCCACCCTCAAGGAGCCAAAGAGCCGCATGAGGCTCACGAGCTGCAGTTT